TGCAGATCTGAGGTTTTACAGTTTTTACCCTATAGGCTTATATTGTCCCTATATATTGCGGGTTTCCAATACCTCTTCTTTATGGGAGAGGCTATATACAAACAATATACTGCCTTAAACCAAATAGCTGGTATTACAATGTTTACAATTTTGATACAATATACAGAAATGTTGAGTTCAAATTGTATCTACAATATAAACAGTAGGTTTGCAAAAGGGTCTAAAGTTTCTGATGGTGGGCAAAGAGAGAACCAGGGTTGGTGTATAGCATGAGATATTAAGGAGGTAGGAGGGGAGAATGTAGAGTTATTAGATCTTAGAAAGCTTGAAAGTGGAATCTAAAGAAGTTGGCTAGTAGCAGAAGAAAAGAGAGAAATTGGCTTTTGGGAGACAAGTACGTGGGAAGACAATGGAATACAACAAACAAATATAAAATTTAAAAAATAAAAAAATGTAAAAAAATACTAGATAAATGAATATACAACACAACTGTAATACTATTGAGACATCCCAGTCTTCAGTAGCCTAATCCATGAAAAGTACTTGGTTTCACAAAGGTTAGGGATGTGAGGGCAGGAGGAGAGAGAAAGAGAGAAAAGAAAAAAGAAAGAGAAAAGGAAAATAATCTTGAAGGAAAATACAAGGATTGTTTTTATGCGAGTTTAGTATCTTTCCTGCTTCCATTCTTATCCAATGGGTGGGGTTGTCTGTTGTTTGCTGGTATCTTCACCTTCAGGATGGTGAAGGTTATTATGGTGGCTGGGTACCCTTTGTGGGAATGGTGGCCAGGATTTCTGCACAGGTGGGTGGCCAGGGTTCCTACATGGGTACTGATGCCCAGTGGTTCTTCTCAGCATGGCAGCTGGTAGTTCTGCTGGTGGTCCTGCATAGGGGAGCAGCCAGGAATCCTGCACTGACACTGAGGTCTGGAAACCTGCACGGGCATGGCAGCTGGAATTCCTGGATGGGAGCAGCTGCCAGAGGTCCTCTAATAACTCCAAAAGAAATAGTATTGTGACACAGAATGCAGCCTCCCTGTTGCCTGCCATCTTGAATCCCCATCTTTCCCTGCTTGTTTCTGATTTGTTATATGCTCAAAATTAGTTTTCCAAGCTTGTTTAGAATTATATGTGAAGAATTAAGGGATATGTCAATTATTAACATGAATGTTCATTTGTGCTTAAGTTTTGTGACATCTGTTTTGTCTCTGGGGCCTCTTATTCTTTTATTGGTGCTGTTTGAATAGATGGTGTTACTCCAATGTGGTTCATTCTAGATATTATATTATAAAATGTTGTAATTTTTGTGTTAAAAGGGTCTTGTTTGGCTTAATCTTCAGAAGTTCAGATACTTTTCCAGTAGATTGTTTTAGTGACTTTTGTAATTGAATATTATTGGAAAGTAAAGTTCTTTCTGCTTTACTTTCTGCTCTAATTTACCTATTTTAAAAGTGTGAGAAAAGTCAACACATACTTTTGGTGACGGTTTCAGGAGGAGCATTTATTTAACCACCAACTCAAGAGGACATTACAACTTATCAGGGAAGTAAAGAATTGGAACTGTTTTGAAAAGATCAAGAGACTAGTCATGGATTTAAGAGTAGAAAACATTTGAAGCACTTAGCAAACTTTTTTGTGAGGAACTGCAGAATGAAATGAAAGGGTATGGTAGGAACTTGAGAGCTGATAAGGAATTGAATTATTGTGATACAATTTAATTAGTGTGGTATACAAGAGAAATGGAAGTGAGGCAAGGGAATAGGAGAAGAGTTTCCTGGCATTGCTTTAGCAGAATCATATTTATAAAATAAATCAAAACAGTAGTTGATGGTTGACCTTAAGATAAAATTATTTATATCAGTATAAGCAATAGTGGGCTAAAGTCAGATTCAAAGGGCTAAGGAGGTAATATTGTGTACAGAGAGTTTTTATAATCAAATGGTCTTAGGTTAGATTCTTGGCTTTTATTTCTGACTGTTTTGAGATTAAATAAGCATTTTTCTCTTTTTTCATGCATTATTGATACTTTATAGTGTATTTCATTGTGGCATATTTTTACATGAATATAAAATAATTTGATCAATTTCACTCCCAATACCTTCCCTTATCTACTCCTCCCTCCCCTTGACCCTCTTCCCCTACCCTAATGGTCTCCCTTCTACTTTCATATAAGATGAAACAGATGGCAGTTGTCTTTCCGAGTCTGGTTTATTTCACTTAACATGATGCTCTCCAGTTACATCCATTTTCTTGCAAATTATATAATTTCATTTTTCTTTATGGCTGAATAAAACTTTTCTTTATACAGTTTTGAAATGAACCAAGGTTTCCATGATTCCATGATGTGGTTATTGTGAATCATGATGCAATAAACATGGGTATGCATATATCATTATAGTGTGCTGACTATAATTCTATTAGGTAGATTCCAAGGATCAGTATAGCTGGATCATTACCATATATTAATTTTATTTTTTTTGAGAAACCTCCATGCTGATTTCCATGATAGCTGCACTAATTTATATTTTCACCAACAGTGTATAAGAGTTTATTTTTCCTGCATCTTCCCCAGCATTTATTGTTAAACAAGTAATTTTAAAGATCTTTTGGTCTCAGAGTCCTCCTTGGTGTATTTCAGGTAATTATGCCTACCTTCAAGATTATTGAGAATCACTGAAAATATACACACTTTTTGCTTAATACAGTAATTGGCAAGTAATTAATGTTTATCAAATGCCTACTAACTTATGACTAGTCCTTCACTATGATGTACATGTAGCAGCTGTTGGTAAATTATAAATTGAGGAAATAATATTTTCTATGATAAATTCAAGTTGAACATACTGTTTTTTGCATTATTTCAGTCTCATGCTTCACCATATGTAAAGCAGTGTTACCTTGTCTTATTGTTGCTGTTGATACTGTTATTGTTGAAACTGCAGTTTATTAGGTGAATGTGTGGACAACATGGATCTAAGTAGGATAAATATTATTATCTTTTTTTCAAAACAATACACACACACAAATAAATTTTTTCAAAGTCACACAGCTAGAAATATGTTGAGTAGGGTCTTTGGACTTGTCCTGGAAGTGGTGTCTCTTATTTGAAGTGTCTTTGGATAAAAGAAAGATAGAAATGACTTAATAAAGTAAACATTGAAAAAGTATTTGTATACATTAGAAATAGTGCATCTTATGGCCAAAGTGAAGATTCTAGGAAGAAAATCAAAACCAGTATTTACGTCTGGTCCTACTTTTGCTTATATCCTATTTTACCATTGTGCATTTATTTATTTATTTTTAGTTGTGGATGAACACAATACCTTCATTTATTTTTATGTGGTACTGAGGATTGAACCCAGTGTCTCATACATGCAAAATGAGCACTCTACCACTGAGCCACAACCTCAGTGCCCACATTGTACATTTTTTGAAAAATTTGTATTTGTCCTTTTTAGTTATAATGGTAGTAGAATATATTTTGACATAGTATACATACATGGAGTAAACTTTTCTGTGGTGTACACAATGTTGAATTACACTGGTTACATATTCAAATATGAACAGGAAAGTTATGTCCTATTCATTCTACTATCTTTCCTATTCACATTCTCCCTCCCTTCTCCCCATTCCCACCTGTCTAATCTTGTGAACCTCCACTCCTACCCCATTGCTTATTGTGGGTCAGCATCTTCATATCAGAGAGAACATTTGTCCTTTGTTTGTTGGAATTGGCACTTAACATGATAGTTTCTAGTTTTAACCATTTCCTGGCAAATGCCATAATTTCATTCTTCTTTATGGCCCAGTAATGTTCCATTGTATATATGTACCACATCTTCTTTATCTATTCATTCATTGAAGGACACCTAGGTTGGCTTCATAGCTTAGCTATTGTGAATTGAGCTGCTATAAACATTGATGTGGCTTCATTATAGTGGTATGCTGATTTAAAGTCTCTTAGGTATATATTGAGGAGTGGGATAACTGGGTCAAATGGTTGTTCCATTCCAAGTTTTCTAAGGACTCTCCATAGTACTTTGCCGAGTGGTTGCACCAATTTGCAGTCCCACCAGCAATGCATGAGTGTACCTTTTCCTCCATAGCCTCAACAACAATTATTATTGCTTGTATTCTTAGTAATTCCATTGTGTATTTTTGATAACAATGATTTTGAACTTTGTGGGACATTATGGCCTTTTCTGAGAATCATCACTTCAGTTAGCGACACCATCTTTATTAAGCACCAATTGATGTGATATTTTTAAACTCCTTTCATTCATCCAATTAGTTAATAAAATTTGTTACTTCCTCCTATCCCATTGCCACTATTTTGTTTTCAGACCATCCTATCACAGCTTTAGACTACTATGAGCACCTGCAAATAGTTCTCCCAACCACGCTTTTCACTTCCCTTTTTATCTTTCACACTATGGTTGATGCTCCATAGCTCCTATGGCCTGATTTTGATACTATCATCTATGTTTCCCAACCCTTTACACTTCTATTATAGTAAACTTATCCTAAGGTAAAAGTCATATGGAAAAGACAAGATAAATACTTGATTCTTTCCCTTTCTCTACCCATTTCTAAGGGAATGATTTGGTACTTTAGTGCCCTTCATAGATGATCCATCATGATTCAAAGCCAGCCTTGGCAAAAGCGAGGCACTAAATAACTCAGTGAGATCTTGTCTCTAAATAAAATACAAAATAGGGCTGGAGATGTGGCTCAGTGGTTGAGTGCTCCTGAGTTCAATCCCCAATAACCCTACACCCCAAAAAGATGATTGATTATAAATTCTAACATCATTATGAACTCACACATTTAAACATTTCTGGCATGTTTAAATCTATTGCAGTTACTATCCTTATTAATGCCCCAATTAGTCCATATTTGGCCAACAAAAGCTTATAGAAATTGGCTTCAGTGTCACATTGCTGCAGTAGCCTTTGATGGCTTCATTACTTTCTGTTATGACAAGATATTTAAGTCTCATACCTTTTCTGCTCCAGACCCCATAGTCAGCCATTTAAAAAAGAGTCGTCCTTCATTTTCTTGGGGGTGGTAGTGTTTACATATCATAATATAGGTGTTGTTGTTGCTAGGCTTGTTATTAAAGCCTTTCACTGTTACAGATCTACATATTTTTTAAGGTACAATATATCAACGGTTCTTATTGGAGCTGGGGCAGGGGATATAGCTCAATGGTAGAAAACTTGCCCAGCATGTGTAAAGCCCTGTGTTAGATCCCAGTGTCACAAAGAAAGTTCTTATTTACAATTCCACTTCAAATTTAAAGCTACAGTGTTTTAAATTAACTTCAATGATACTTCATTGATTATTTTGTTTACCATTCATACCCAACAACTCTGATAATAATACCAACACTGCTAACACCAACATGATTACTAAAAGCAACTTAATATTTGTACAGGTAACCTTTTTCTCTTAAGGTGTATCTCACTAGAAATGTACAGTTAAATTGTTGTTTTAAGATAATTTGAAATATAATTCAGTATTATGTATCACTAACAGGATACAGAGCAGAGTCCATTTATTTAATCTTACTTTTGATTTTTACAGTTGGGTTTTAAATTTAATTTTGATTTTGAATTAGATATTATATTTACTTACATAGTTCCAAAGTCAAATCTACAAAAGACAATCTATTCAAAGAAGTCAAACTACTACCCCTCTCCTCTTCTCTTAAAGATAATATTCCATCTTTCCCTTTTAAGAGTAAACAATAGCATATTGTATGTACTATTTTCCACTGAATTTTTTCATCAGAATATATTTTGGAGATATTTCTCATTCTGTTTTGGAGATGTTTAATACTCCATTGTGTGTAAGTATTTTAGTTTATTCAACCTGTCCTCTATGATGAACTGCTTCTCCTTTGCAAATAGTGCTGCAATGAATGGCCTTGTAGATAAAACAAGATCTCATTGGATCCCTAAGACAATTTATAGTATAAATGAAACTTTAGAACTTCCTGTGTAGTCTAGTTTTGAAAAGTGAAATACTGGGTGGTGACTTAATGCCTGTATGATTGGCCTATTCATGGTTGTGTACATTTTGATGGCAGAGGAAGCAGCCTTTGTCTCTGCCTTTTAAAATTATTTGCTAAAGATTTTTACTCATTTCCCTCATTTGATATTGGAGGTAGCTTGCCCCTTTCTGCTTCAATGAAAGACCATAAATATTATAGTCTTAATTCAGCAAAAACCCAGGATGGCCATGAGCTTATCAATGCCAACATTTTTACATGGCCTCTTGTTGTAATTCCTTTTCCCACATATATTGTGAGAAGAAAAATTTTCAAATTTTTTTACTCCCTTTTTACTCTGCCTTTTTTATTTCATAATTTTATTTCATGATTTTCCTTTCTTTATTTCTTTAAAGATTTTTATAGTTGTAGATGAACAGAATGCTTATTTTTTTGTGGTACTGAGGATTGAACCCAGTGCCTCACACATGCTAGGCAAGAGCTCTGCCACTGAGCTACAGCCCTAACCCTTTCCCCTTCTTTTTCCCCTGCCTTTTTTCATTTCATAATTTTTAACCACTTCCATAAAAGCTTTTTAAAGAAAACTGTTGTTTGTCCTTGCTAGAGTTACTAGAGGATTGAATCCAAGTGACTCTGAACTCTTGTTCCTGTTGGTAATGGCAGAGTGGGTTCCTGTCTGTGCAGGGTTTCAAAGTTTCTCAGCTGGCTTGCTGACCCCCTTTCTGTAGTCTAAAGAAAAGGGACTAACTGTTCAAGTGCCAGTCCTGAACTTTGAAAGGAAGTTCTAAATGTTGTCCTGTGCTGTCAGTATATTTTAGCCTTGATATATAAGCTCAGTGTAATCCAAGTTTAATCTCAACCTCTAATGCCTCTTGGAAAAGAGTGTCACAAGTAACAGTAGTGGTTTAAAAGTAAATCATATATCAATACATACTATAAATGTAATTAATAAAAATCTCTATAATTCTATTAACCTGGAGGAACATGGGAGAAAAATTAATGTAATATAGGCTGAAAGAATCATACACTAATAATTATATACTAAATGAATTTGAAAGTGGGATAAAACTAAAGAAAATAGAGAATGAAAAGTACAAAAAAGAAAAAGAAAAAAGTAAAAAAAAAAATGGAAGAAGAGAGGGAGGGGAAATGGGTTAAAATAGAGTGAAGTGGTAAGAGAAGTTGGAGCCCATGTGGAATGGTTGTATATAGGAGAGACTAGTTAGACATTAATATAATTCAGTTAATATGTTAATTATCACTCAGAGGTTCATATTAATTATTTCAGAAGTTTTTAAAATAGTTTTTTTGTGTCTGACATTTCAACTTTTAGAAAGTGCTAGCTATGAGGAAGACTTTAAAATGTAAATCACCTTCCATTTCAGCTCTGCCCCAGGCCAGCCAAACTTGTTAGGTAACTTTGTATGCAGAATTAGACCCCTTCCTTGCCTGACCACCTCCTCTGGAATAGGTATGGTAAATTGCTTTTGTCTTTCAAAATGGCTTTGTTGTTTGTCTTGAGTGAAAGTGGAGTCTGTCTGAGGAATTGACCAACACCTCCACCTGGAGCCTCTTATTCAGAATCCCTGTCAACAAGTGCTAAACTTGCAGGGGTGCTTTTGGGACTTTACCTCCTCAGATCCAGATCCCTGCCCCCTGTCTTTATCTCACAGATCAGTCTGTCAAATTCCAAAGGAAGTGGCCTTTGTTCTTCCTCACTCTGAGAGCCCTAGCAGGGTCAAAGTCTTTTGTGCTCAGAATGAGGCTGTTTGGGCATCAAAGATCCAATGAAAAGTACTTGCCTAAGGCTTGTTGGGTCTTGAATATTCAAAAAACAAGTATACCAAGTACTGGGACCTAAGGGGGAAAAAGTGATCTCTGAAAAACCCTGGTAAACTGCTGGAGTTCCCAGTCGGCTTAGTGCATCTCAGCTCAGATCACCTCTGCTAGGAAGATTCAGGTAACTCTGTTGAGGATTACTAGTTCTCTCTCTATCTGGGGACTCCAGGCTTTCTCCCTATAAGCACAGCCCAGTTTTTCTGAGTTTGTGTTCTGTTCCAGTTGTAGATATGTTGATTAGTGACCATTTTTCTTAATCTTGGTAGGAAAGTGTCTTTATTCTTGAAGACGGACTGCTTCCACTCCTCCACTGAGCCACAGCTTGGTGGACACTGCCTCAGTCTGTTGTCCTTATTAATTCTTTATTCTAGGAACCAACACTTTTTTTCCCTGAATACTATTTTACCGAGTTGCCACCCTGCTTTCCCATCCCCTACCCCCAGTTTCTCTACATCACTTTGCTGCTGCAGAACTGCTGACTTAATTCAGTCTTAGAAAACTGCTGCAGTTCTGAAGATTCCTCTGAGCTGCCATCTTGTTATCTCCACTCATTACATTTTTGAGCACTAGTCCCAGCCCTGAGGTTGTAGAAGACTTTGGGGGAAATTGTAATAAGTTCTTAAGATTTTGAGTTCAGATTGTTTTGTAAATGTCTTTATAAAAAATTCAGGGTTCTTTTTTAGATGTACATGATAGCAGAATCCATTTTGATATAATTATAAAGGATGGAATATATTTGATTCTAGTTAGGATTCCCATGCTTATGGATGTACATGATGGTGGGATTCACTGTTTTGATTTCATATATGTACATGGGAAAATTATGTCAGATTCATTCTACTGTCTTTCCTTTTCCTATCTCTCCTCCTTTCCCTCTATTCCCCATCATCTAATCTACTGGACTTCTATTCTTTCCCTCACCCCCCTCAGCCTTATTATGGGCTAGATTCCTCATTGTCTTTATGTTCTATTTCTGTTCTGCAGGATCCAAATCTGTAAATCACAGTCCATGCAATCATGCATCATGGTGATGAGATTAATTTATGAAACAAGATGCCATGATCCAACTTTCAGGCCTTTGCTTAGATAAAACCTTGGCTTTAGAACAAATGATATGGCAAACCATAAAAGATTCCTTCATTTAATGTTTTTTGATTCATGGACAAACTCTGGGGCTAAATGTACTCCATAAGATGATTCTAGTGTGGCTATAAAAGATTATGTGAAAGACAGAGCTACCCGCACTTCCCTTCCTGCCATCTTTCATTTTGATAAATTTGCTAAGATTATTTGTTTTGGACCAAGAACAACTGTTATCTTTATCTTCACTTCATGTTTGCACTCCCTTGAATTCCTTGCATAATAAAGGACAGTGACCTGGTTAGTAATATAGAGATTTATGTTGGAAAGATTAATACCTGATCAATGGACTATTAATAGGTGTGATTTTTTGTTTGTTTTTAACCAAACAGGGTCCTGGAAATGCAAATTTAAGACTTAACAGACAATATCAGGTCAAAAGTCTGACTTTTAAACCTAGCAAATATTGAATATAAGTTTCTTTTATGTGCCCATATGTTTATATGCATACAGATTAAGTGCATGGTACTAAATTGACATATGGAAAATTAGCCCAAAATGCCTTTTTGATTCATATGACTTTAGTAAATCTGTAATAAGTAAGTTAAACTTGTTTGTAATGTGTTTAAAATATAGTAACTCATTTTTCTGGCCTGCTAAATAATTAGGATATAGGATATTTGTTTCTGAATATTCAAGATACAGGTGTTCAATGTTTTCTATATAAAGCAATTTCTTCAGACCTTTTTGGCAAAACAAACAAACAAACAAAAAACAAACTAAAACCAAAAATAAAATTTAAAATGTTAACTGTGCTTGATTTTTGTGAATAATTTAAAGATAGCTACTAAAATGAGTAAATAAGTATATAGGACAGGCATTTTTGATTCTTAAAAATGTAGTTTTTTAAAAATAGCTTTGATTTTACAAGAAAACTTTAGTTCAGAGCTAGAAATCTTAGGTGTTTCATCCCTCAGAAAATTTTTAAAATAAGTATATAATGTTTACATTTATATATGACCTTCATGGTTTGTCTAAAATATTAATTCAATAAATTTGGAAAGTCACAAGTGAGCCTATACTTTCTTTGTTCCAGTCAATGAAAATAATAAATGATTTTGAATGCTAATAATCTATGTATCATTTATGTTTCTGATTTCTGGAATTACTTCATTTGATATTCTTTTTTTTATTAGTTGTTCAAAACATTACATAGCTCTTGACAATCATATTTCATACATTTGATTCAAGTGAGTTATGAAGTCATTTTTGCTCCATATACAGATTGCAGAATCACATCAGTTACACA